GACTAATGACAGCATGTTAAGATTCTCAAATAACCATGGGATTTGCTATTAAACACCCTATTCTAGCAAACTATAAATTAAAAGAGAACTATGGGGTAGATGTTTTTCCCCATAGTTCTCTTTAGGTTCACAGGAAGACATATACTAACCTCCTCTCACGACCCAAAGCTCAGTATATCGCAAGCTATTGCCCGCGATATACTGAGACCGCCGCAGCCAGGACGGATCCCGACATTACTGTCGAGATCCACCCAGCTGCGTGAGTGACATCTGGCTCTGCCTATCTAGAGGCAGAGCCAGCTGTGCCCGCCCCCTCCCACGTTCATTCCTCCACTCAGCACTGGAGGAATGGAGAGGGGAGGGGGGAATCCCTGGAGGGAACAGTGACTGATCGGGAAGTGATTGGATCGGTGCATGTTTCTGCTCACTTCCCGATCAATAGAGCCAACCTGTGACAGCTTCTTTGTCACAGGTCGGCTCTAACTACTTTGTCACAGGTCGGCTCTAACTATGAGGATGAGGGGAAATCACTCACCTCATAGTTCTCTTTTAATGCAGGGAGGTAAAATTAAAGGGATATAGAAATAGAAATATAATACCTTAATGTCACAGTCAGAGTGGGTTACATTTTATATTATGAAAAGACCTAAAATTATCTGCATAATACTCCCTTGGATTGGTTGATGAATGGATTCCCTTTAATATTAAAAATTAAAAAAATAAAAGGTATCTGTTTTATGACAATGCCCTCAAACTTTAGCTAGACTTTAAAAACAACTCAGTCAATAGGTGGCTCATTTAGTGGCTTTCCTTTCCAGACTTTTAGCAGATGTGCTCTTGAGGATCGTTTATAGTATAGGACGCTCAGCCCCAGCTTTCCAGCTGTTGTAGGGCTACAGGTCCTAACAAGTTTACTTTATATACTTATTTATACTTATTACAGTATATTGTACCATATACACCACATTTGCCATGAACAAAAATGTCAAGATCTAATTTCAGATAATCTAACATCACTATCTTCTGCTGCCAGGAAGCCATGTTAGAGATGGTGCCAGTAAGAATCTCATATTCCACTGCCAATATGGCACTGATAGAGCATGCAATCACATTTTGGCCTGGCTTTCCTATGCATTGCACATTTATATTGATTTTTGGTGATTTTATGTGTGTGGCTACAAATGACTGTGTGGTTTTGTAGATGTGGTTAAAAGATTTAATTTTGAGAATTTGGTTACCCTATGTTAAGGGCTTTCAAATCCACTGCATTTCTAATAATCTCTTATGTATATAACTATAAATGTATCTTTAATATACACTGTAATTTGTAGCACCATGTGAATAATATAGTACAAGAAGCGTTTCCATAAGACCTAGCAGTAGTAGGCCCATTTTAAATTAACTTTTACACCTGCATTAGAACTGTTCCTGTCACACTGGAACACTTGTGTCATTTATTTTCCTTATTAATATTTGCACCTGCGTCCACTGACTTAATCATGCTGTTATGCTGGGACTATAAATGTACACATCAAAAAACGTAATTTCTAGAGAATGAGCAGAGACACACGTACACAGGGGTATTTGTTCACACGTGTTTCAGAATCTGGCTTTACATACTTAATAGATATAATAAATATGAATGGCATCCTAAACTTAAGCAACGTTGGGACCAAACAAATTCCAGTCTAATTAAACAAACTGGAAATTGTATTAAAGTTAAGAGCTTTTAAAATCACTAAAAACAGTAATGTATCATATTTTCAGTTATATAAGATGAAATAGGAAAGCAGTAATATGTATACTTTAACTTGACATTCTCAAAGCTGGTGTCTATCTTCCTACACTACATCATACTAACTGACTGACAACTACTATTACAGGGCAAGGAAAGATGTCCCTGTACTATGGGAGGCGACTTGATTTTTTATCTTTCAGACTGCTCAGCTATGACATGTAAAAGAGGAGGATTGGTCAAAAATTTTAAGTAATATTGAAGTCAAAAGGTCTTTGAGCTATTTCAAATGCTGATCAATTCACTTACAATGGATGATGCTCCTTGATGTTTGGTTTCCTGCAGAATCAGTTAGTCCCCTGAGCCTGATATTCTGTTTTAGGGTGGTTCCTCTCCATTTTCAGGGGTCTATGGAGCTACCTTGTGTATAAACACACAGCCACAGCAAGGCATTCCACTCCCCTCTTCCCAACTCCTCCTTCCTTCCTTTTCCAAACTTATAGATGGACTGTCCTCCTTCCTTCCTTCCTTCCTTTTCCAAGCTTATAGATGGACAGGAGACTGTCCTTTGTGATCTAAGCCCTCGTTCATACCTGAACGTTTTGTAGCGCGCTCTACAAAGCGCTCAAAAATTTAAATCCTATTGTATTCAATGGTCTCGTTCCCACCTTGGCGTATTTCCACCCGTCCCTAACGCGCTACAAAACGGCCCACGCCTGAAAAGGTACATGTACTACTTTGGGCCGTTTTGTTGCGCGTTTCCATTGGGATACAGCCAAGTAGCCTTCGGAAACGCGCGACGGTCGCGCAACTTTTTTACCGCGAATTGCGCGACAGACTCGCATATGCAATACGCCTAGGTGTGAACGAGACCTTACACTCCACAGTTGTGATAGTAGATACTTTGTTTGAATATCAGCTACTGGAGAAATAGTAACTTTTGTTTCTAATCTTTTGATGGGCAGAATATTACATAACATTTAACTAAATTTCCCTCTCACAATCAGAAACACATACCTGTATCTACATATCTGGTTAAACAAGTACAAAAAAATAATAGCAGAATAGGAAGGCATACCTGTTTCATTTTCAGGAATATTGACGATGATGACATTGATAGGAGGGAAATGCTGACTTTCATCTTCCGTAGACCCAGTTGGAGATGTACCAGCAATGTCATCACAAGGTTCTTTTTTTTGTTCTTCTGAACTTCCACTGGTGATATATTCAGAATCAATCTCTGCTATTGGCTTTTTACTTGTCAAATCAGATTCAGTTGTGGTCCTTAGAGGAGCAACAGATTCACCAATCACTATTGTTCCTTTACTTGTCTCCTCATCAGGGTCCCTATCAATCAAAACTGGTTTCTGAGTGCTAGTTGATGGGAGCAATGTTCTAGGTGTGAATACTATTTCTTTTAGTGGTGTAGTTGCAGCTATATCTGTAGTGACAGATAATGGAACAGTAACATCTTCTCCAGAACCTTCACTAACATCTTTAGGTTGACCTGTAACAGCAGCAGGAATCGCTGATGAAGACAAGATAGATTGAGGGCTGGATGGACTTTCTACAGATTTTTCCTCCACCTCGGATGTACCCTTAGTATCTGGTTGTACCTCTGTGACAGCTTTTTCTGTTTCAGTGTCCACCACTGCAGAAGACATGGGTATAGAGGCTGCTGTAGTCTCCTCTTTAATAGCTGTTATATCTTCTTGAACTTTAGGAGCAGCAGTTGTTTGAAGTACCTGTTCCTCTGTCACATCTGTAGTTGGTAAATCAGTCCCTGCTACATATTTAAGCCCATCTTCAGAAATTGTACTTTCTGTTTTATCTTCATCCAGTTTCTCAGTGGGAATAGCAGTAATGGCGCTCTGTGTGCTTACTGTAGTTTGCTGGCCCTCTGCTGTTTCAATTTGCTTAATTTTTGTATCCTCCTCAACACCACTTCCTTCAAAAAGAGAATCTTTTGGCTGAGATGATAACATTTCTGTGAAAGCTTCAGATGCTTTTGTTGTACCTACTGGCTCTGGTTCGACAGCTGGTATCTCTGCTGTTTGGCTTTCCCGGGCTGATGCAGTTTCAGTCAAAACAGTTGCAATATCTTCTGGTAATGCAGTACCATCTTCTGGGGTTTTCTCAAAAGATGCTTGCGTAGCTGATGGAAATTGTTCTTCCTTTTTGTCCAGATCTGTCCCTTTAGTCAGAGTATCTTCTTCAAGCATTCCTGAGCCCTCTGTTTTATCGGATTTGTATACTGTACTTGTGGAAACTTTATCAGTCACATCATAAATCATCTGAATTGGTGATCTTGTTGTTTCATCAGCACTGTCATCTGATTCTGGCTTATCTGATTCCAAAGCAGAAACTGTTTCAATTGACGGAGTTTCAGTTTTTACAGTGACATAACTCTCTTCTTTTGGTAGGCTAGTGGTCTGTGCCTGTTCTGTGACAGTTACAGCTGCACCAGTCGATGCTTCACCTTCAGAGGGCAATTCTGCTTCTTCTACAGGTTCACTGATGGTAGAAAAAGGTTGCTCAGGCAACGTGGCTACTTCTGTGACTTCTGCAACAGTTTGAACAGATGTGGATATTTTACTTGTTTCTGTGACTTCTAGTGTAGATGGAGTACTGGTGTCAGGTTTGAATACTGTGAATACTTCCAGCTTCGTCTGTACACTGGAAACTTCTGGGTCTTTTGGTGTCAGTGATTCACCAATGGTCACAGCAACTTGCTCAAAGCTTGTCCCTGGCACACTGTCAAATGCAGAACTGTCAGGCACCTCTGGAGCAGATGTAGTACCAGCAAAGTCTCTAATGTGGGAAACATCATGTGGTATAATAACTGTTGAAAAGCTTTCTGCACTTTTGGCTTCCATCGTTTCGTGGGAAGGCTGGGAGATAAGATCTTTTGGTGAATATGTTGATATTTCTGGTGTTTCTTCATTGGCTGTGTCAGTAAAAGCAGATGGCTCTTGATCTTGATCTTTCTCAGCACTTGGTTGAATACTTTCTGTTTCATGACTCTGAGAAGGTGATACTGTGTCTGAAGAAAGAGATGAGTCTTCGACAGCAGTCTTTGAAGGTGAAGTTACAGCTTCTTCTCTTTGACCCTCAGCCTGTTCTGTCTCGGTAGCCATTGGATATATTGTGGTTTGTTCTTTTTCTAACAATGTCAGAGATCTTTCTGGAGACTCTGATGGTGTGCTTTGAATGTCTTCCACAGCACTAGATTGAACAGTAGACTGCACTTCAGCTTTTTTCACAGCTGGTGGTGTTGTAGAAACACTTGGCTTTGGAGTAACCTTAATTGGCTGTACTTCCACCTTCCTCAGGATGCTTTGAGTCACGGCCTCTGTCGGCAATATCAGTTTAACTGAGACAGCTTCGGTGATATTTTTTTTATCTGCAAAGTTAAAACAAGAACTTAATTGAAAAATAATCAAAATTGTACTGTTAATGTGCATTATTTTCCAGTCAACTATTTTTTTATTTCAAAATATGTGAAACCTGTTACAATAAATGTGAAATAAAGTTATATTTTACGATGTTGTTTCAGTAGCTTGTAAAGGCTTCTTGCCAAAATATTACTCAAAAAATATACAATGTTCAATGGCTTCCTTATTCTCAGAAATTATTGCCAAACATGTATACTTTTATACTGCATTTTTTTCATTTTAAACAGTAATTTCCTGTTCTTGTAAAATGTCTCGAATCATGTGGTAAATACCTGTGCCACCTTAAGATAGACTGATTGTGTTTTAAATCTATCTGTGTTGGGTTATTTTCACAACATACCATAAATTTGTTGTAATATAAATGTTGTGGAAGTTATTTCAGGTTCCAGCTTAACATACAATTCACCAACAGCACATTTGGTAAGAAAACACTAGTTAGATATACAATCAACAAGCATACAATTATGTTTTAGAAAGAGAGTTTGAAAAGACATTGAGGCAGAAGCTACTTTTAGTTATGTATGTGCATAACCATCTATGACAAATATGATACATATGGCAAAATTCACTTAACAGTATAAGAAGTAAAGGGTTAAGTACAAAATGCAGTCACTAAAAGGAACCAGTTAGAATTCACATTACTTAAGCCTAATGAAGCTGGATTCTTGTTACCCCAAGACCAAATGACACACAGAACTTTATCCAATGATGGAATCATGCCAGGTTCCATTCCACTATGGGGTAACCTTCAAAGTCACACATAGTCAAAAAGTATCAACAATGCACCCAATGGCCATCTTGGATAAGCCGGCATCTTGCTGAGATGCAATGCTTTCCGTAGTTACTATCACAGCATGTACCCTGGTAAGGGGTCCAGAGGAACACTTTATCTGTTCACATTTTTTTTTCTTCAGCTCTTAAGCCGACTGGTTTAAAATTGATATTTATGATAGCTAAGGATACTGCACTTTGCAACTAATAGTTTAATACCTGCACTGTTTTAATAAAGAAACTCCACAATTGCATTTTATATGATTGCCTACATACTGTACAACATGCCATCCCCAGTAAAATTTCAAACTTTCAATCTATATGTAGTAACATAGCCCAAAATTAGAGGATCAAAAATTCAGCGGAAGGCGTATGTTAAGTACAATTGGACAGCACAGTAACATAATGGTAAATACCCCTGCCTTGCAGCAGCAGGACAGATCAAAGGCTTACTAGCTAACACTCCTGACTTACAGCACTAAGGGGTCTATTCATGAAGCTGCCGAAGGATCTGGCCGTAGCTTCGGCCGATCCTTCGGCTAGCTTCGGCCCCAGGACCCCTTCGGTTCAGTAGAACCGAAGGGGTGCTGTACGGGCTATTCACAATAGCCCGTACAGCTCCCGATCATGGCCGAGCGGCTCAGCCGAGCCGAACGCATATGCATCGGCTCGGCTGAGCCTTGCTGAAAGCCGAAGCTGGCTGAGCGGCCGGCCGCTGGGCCTGCTTCTGACAGCTGGGTGGAGCCAGCCGTGATCTTACGGCTGGCTCCGGCCACTTTCAGAGAGATCAGCGTCCCTGGTTAACTGCTAACCAGGGACACTGATCTCGAAACAGCAAACTCTCCCTGGTGCCCCGGGAATCTCCTGCTCCAGGCCGCCAAGGAGAGAAACAGTGCTGTGTCTTTTTTTCTTTATTCTGACACGAGCATGTCAGAATAGAAAAAA